ACACACACACACACTCTCACTCTCTCTCTCTTCCTCCCTCCCTCTCTCTCTTCCCCCCACTCTCTCACACACACATATACACACACACACGCACGCACACACCCTCTCCCACGTCTTAGCGAATCATGACAGCCTCTGTGAAGCCCTCGAGACACACGATCCTACGGAGACCTCCTTCAAGACAGCTCAGCTTCTTGGCAAACTCCTCCAGCCGCGCCAGGGTCCTCATTGAGTCCTGCAAGCGATGAAGACCGTCAGCACGTGTTATTGGCAGCTTTACGAATATTACGTTACAAAGGGGCGAGTCAGCGGTAGAAGTGTGGATGCTGAGACGTGGAAACTGGGGGGGGGGAGGCTGCGGGAGATGGAGGTGTTTGGGCGTGATGGGCGTCTGTCTGTCTGTCTGTAAATGTGTATGAAGTGTACGTGTATGCATTTATGTTTAGGAATGTACACACATGTATATACCTTTGTGTGTATGTACAAGCACCTTGAAATTTGTCTTTGTCAAACTCCCTGGATGAGCAACAGACACACAAACACACAGACACACAAACACACACCACACTGCACAGACACACACAAACACACAGACATACAAACACACACACACACAACACACACGAATCTGTTCTGGGATCCCTCTTACCTCCTTCATCACATGTCAACGCCAAGGTATTCTTCCGTTTTCAGCTGTGCCTGTTTGTCTTCGTGTTGGCGGGGGCGTGTGTGGCCTCTGCCGCAGCTGACCCTCTGGCCGACCGCAATCCGCAGCCCACCAAAGTCGTCCTAGGTCAAACACCCCCAGAGGAAGACAGCAAGACAGGTCAGTCGAGTGTGACACGGAACAAACTGCCTTCTATCTCTATTCGTATATATTTCAGAATCTTATTTCTCTTAAATCTTACTCTCACGCTTTCTCGACCAAGAAAAAAATCAGAATAAAAATAAAAAATGAATAAGACATCAATAAGCAAGCCAGCGAAGAGGTGCGCGGCCTTTAAAGCGGCGGCGAAAACGTTTTACGAAAACGTTTCCAACCAGCAGGAGTTCCCCGGAGGCTGAGCCCAGTGGAGCAAAGCCCGTGCCGGTTGACGCAAAGGCACCCCCCCCTCCCCCCCGGCAGCATGGGCGGTGTTGCATGGTAATTCCTTGACGGTATTCTGCATTGAACATCAGCCATTCCAGACAGGCGCAGCTAACACGTTTGGCTGTGTTCGGAGGAAACGTTTTATGGCGGCGCTGCGAACACAAAGGAAACGTTTTATGGGACCTACCGTGATGGCAACACCGCGCGTTTGGGAATATTTGGTCAGATGTTGAAAGATTTTAAATGGCGTTCTTTGGGGGTAAAGGATATGAAAGAGTTTCTATTGAAATCAAATTGAAAAGTATTATTTCTCAAGAGGAAAACTGATACCGCTGATCTCTGCTTTTTAACACGTTTGGAAATCCTCAAGAAAAAAGTTACCAATATAATTTCCGGTATAGCAGTTGTCCCCTTTTATTCCATTGCATTTTATTTCGTCCATGGCCACGCTCTTTATCGGGAACTTTTTTTTCATCATCAAGGAAATAATTGATAAAAAAGAAAAAAAATCATTACATTCGCATTTTTTTTTTTTTTTTTTTTTTTTACAAATGGCCGCCACTGACAAACATGCAAGTTGAATTCAATCCTACGACGGAGCGAGAAAGTTCGATTAATTATACCCTCTAATTTACAACTTTCCCCCTTTACCCCCCCCCCCTGAGATTCTTTCACACCCGTCCTTGGCTTCCTTAACGTACGGAGAACTGCCTTATGACGTCATACCATTGTGGCGGTTTTATCGTAGCCTTGACCTTCGTTTCGTATCGTGGAGGAAAGGTGATAAGACAAATAAGGCGAAAACAAAGACTTATAGTGAGAGATTGTATTCAGAGATTAATAAAACAATGTGAAGAAGTGGTATTTATGCATTTAAAAAATTCAAACGTTAAGGTGTATATACATCAGAAGGTAATGTGCAGCTCAGATGAATACTTTCTCGCTTTCTCAGAATATAGTATAACAAGATGCGTGTGTATATCTATCTATCTGTCTGTCTATCTATCTATCTATCTATCTATCTATCTATATATTATATATGTGTCTGTATGTGTGTGTATCTATGTGTGTGTATGTATGTGTGTATGTATATATATATATATATATATATATATATATATATATATATATATATATATATATATATATATATAGATAGATAGATAGATACACACACACACACACACACACACACACACACACACACACGCACATACGTTTATACATATACATATATACGTATGTAGTAAAAAACCACAATGCACAAACTAGATTTATTGCAGAAAGTGAGACAACAGTTTCGGAATCGAGGACGGTTCCGACTCTGTTGTCTCACTTTCTGCAATAAATCTAGTCTGCGCACTGTGGGTTTTACTACCATAGTATCAAAACGGTAGAGTGATATTCCATTCATATATATGTATGTATATGCGTATATATATATTCACACATAAATATATATGTATTGGGTTGTATTATCGTATCGTCGCTATACTTATCTCTATCTTTCTATCTATCTTACTTTCAGTCAACACACTCACTCTCCTTTTACGTATATACACTACCCGCGACCCCTCCCCCCCCCCCCCCCACCTCCCAGGCACGCCCCCTGGAACGACCTCCCCTTCTATGGCTCTTCCGGGCACCATTGTCTCGCGTCGCCTCCTTGTAGCGGCCGGGGGGGATGGGGGGGGGGTGTATCCTTCCTCATCCTACGTATCTCTTTCACCGGAGGATTTTTTCCCTCCTATTATCTGGCGTGGATCTGCGGGGTTTATCTAAGATCTTTTTCTGGGGAATTCATGGTCCACCTCCGCTACAGGGACAAAATACACATATATACCGTAAATACGAATATATATATTGTAGAAAAACTCACAATAAACAAACTTTATTTATTGTGTTTTATATTTTCTCTACCATAGTATTCATAGTGTTTTTCCATTCATGAATATATCTAAAAAAAACAAACAAAACAAACATCATATATGTGTGTGTGCTTATGTACACACACACACACACACACACACACACACACACACACACACAAACACACACACACACACACATGGATAGATAGATACGCTTACATGTATGTATATAGTCAAAGGCCAGTTTCTACATGAGTGAGTAAAACATAAGATATTAACTATCTCCAGGAGAAACCTCTTTCTAAATACCACACGTGTTGCAAACCACGCTAAATGAACGAAACTCCCATAAATATAACATCACATCCCCATGACTAAAACATCAATACACAGACCGCCCAAACAACAGTGTTCTTAGGCCTCTGTATCGACAACCAAAAGGCTCCGATGCCGCGGCTGTTCGCGTTATTAAATGCCAAAGGAAGAAATGAACCCCCAGCTGATGCTTCACTTGGCTCGGACAGAGTGAAGCAAGGGAGAGGGTCGGGGTGAAGCAGCCCTCACGGCCATAAAAGGAGAACACGTGACGCTACCTTGGAAGTAATTCGACGACAGTGTTACCAGATAAAGAGAAGAAAAAAGGAAAAGGGAGAGGGAGAAGGAGGGAGGTTAGAGGAGGGAGGACAGAAAGAGGGGTAGAGGAGGTAGAGGAGGAGGAGGAGAAGGAAGGGAGAAAGGGATAGAGAGAAAGAGAGGATGTAGGTAGATGAAGAGAGAGAGAGAGAGAGAGAGAGAGGAGAGGAGAGGGAGAGGGAGAGGGAGAGGGAGAGGGAGAGAGAGGGAGAGGAGAGGGAGAGGAGAGGGAGAGGGAGAGAGAGGGAGAGAGAGAGAGAAAGAGAGAAAGAGAGAGAGTGAAAACGAGCGAGCGAGCGAGAGAGAGAGAGAAATAGAGAAAAGAAAAATAAGCATTTTCACCGACAGATCTTAAAAACTGTCTCCCTATAACACAAGGTCACAATAAGTATCCATCTAGAACTTACTACAATATTAAGTAATTAAAGTAGAACCTTTGACATCACAATTTTTCCCTTTCTTCTGCTGGGGAAAAATCTACCTTTTCCTCTCCGTCACAGAAATGAGATTTTACGCCTCTGAAGTTGGGGAAATTAAGGGAAAGAGAGGGAGGGAGGGAGGTGGGGTGGGGGGCGTCGGAGCAAGGGAAGCAAGGCCATTTGTGTAAGAGGGAAGCAGGGGTTGGGGGATTGGGGGAGGTGGTAGGGGAAGCTATCTTTTTCTTTCATTTTCTTCACACTTAGTCTCTCTCTCTGTATCTCAGCTTGTATACATCTCTCTGTATATATCTCCTCTCTCTGTCTCTCTTCACTCTTACGCTTTCTTTTTCACACACACATTTGCCTTCCTATCTACCTGCGTATCAGTAAACCTACCTATCCCTCTACCTACCTATCCACCCCCTTACCTACCAATTTATTCATAAAAATCACACTGAATCTCCCCGAATCACTCTACAACAACAAAAGCAAAAGATAAATGAATTCCTTCCACATCCAGCGTTCAATTTCACCAAAGGCCACAATATTTCCTCTTTCGCGTTCAAGAGGGAATATTTCCCACGCGATCCAACGCTTCACGGTCTCCTGGATCCTCCTCTTGGGGTTTGAGACGTTAACGCACGGGTATCCAGTGTGTCCAGCAGGAAAGACGAATTGGCAACTTATCATCCAAACTCTGGGGTATTTCGATTTTTTTTGTTTTGTGTTTGTATGTTTTGTATATTTAAGAATTAGATATGATTTTTGGTTTATTTGTTATTGTTATTTTGTGAAATTGGCTGTCTTCAATACTTTATCAATTTTTTCTCTCAAGACTTTGTAAATCGGAATACTCTAGAATATAAGTTGAGTTGCCAAGTTGTCATTTTTCCTAAGATTGGACGGAGTATATAACGCGCGTCGTGAGTCCAATATTCATTCCACGTGAGGAGGAGTGGCAGGCGCTACGTGTCCCCGGGCGGAGCT